TGCAAGTTCAGTTAATTATTTCTGATTCTTTTCCGGGTAAATATCAATATTTGTCGTTTTTACAGCCACTTGGGTTAATGTGTGTCAGGTGCCAAGGAAACCAGCTCCCGGGGCCAGGGAATCGCCCCAATGGCTGCTATCATTGGGCAAATGATCAAACCCAGAGAGAGCCAGAAGGGGATCACGTGGACCCCGGGGGACGCTGCAACCGTCATAAAGACACGCCAGTTGCCAAGCGCCTGAATTTTTGATCACGTGGCCGCGGGGGGATGCTGCAAGAGCCGTCCATGTGAAAAACGACCCGAAGTCGCTTTTTTCAGCGCAAGGGCGAACGGTTGTAAATTGAGGACCGCTTGCGTCTTAAGAGAGAAACACAGCTCTAGAGGCTTTGCGGAGAGGAAAGGGACAAAGGCTGGGCTCAGAGGCAGTGGGGCACATTGGTTAAAGCTGGATCTTGCCCAGGAGCCAAAAATCAACACTGCATCCAGTTTTGGTCACCACGATGTAAAAAAGATGTTGAGACTCTAGAAAGAGTGCAGAGAAGAGCAACAAAGATGATTAGGGGACTGGAGGCTAAAACATACAAGGAAAGGCTGCTGGAATTGGGTATGTCTAGTTCAGGGTTAGGCAACTTTGGCTCTTTTATGACTCGTGGACTTCAACTCCCAGAATTCCTGAGCCAGCCATGCTGAGGGGAAAGGGAGAGGTTTCCAAGCTGAGCCATGCCGGTTCAGGAATTCTGGGAGTTGAAGTCCACGAGTCATAAAAGAGCCAAGGTTGCCTACCCCTAGCCTAGTTTAATGAAGAGAAGGATTAAGGGTGACATGATAGCACCCTTCCAATCTCTCAGGGGCTGCCCCAAAGAAGAGGGAGTCAAGCTCTTCTCCAAAGCACCTGAAGGCAGGACAAGAAGCAACGGATGGAGAAACTAATCAAGGAGAGAAGCAACCTAGAACTAAGGAGAAACTTCCTGACAGTGAGAACAATTAACCAGTGGAACAACCTGCCTCCAGAAGTGGTGAATGCTCCCAACACTGGAAGTTTTTAAGAAGAGACTGGACAGCCATTTGTCTGAAATGGTATAGGGTTTCCTGCCTGAGCAGGGGGTTGGACTAGATGACCTCTAAGGTCCCTTCCAACTTCTCCTCCTCCTCCTCCTCCTCCTCCTCCTCCTCCTCCNAGAAAGCCTTTTCAAACCCCTTCTTCTTCTTCTTTTTGAAAAAATATATTTTATTGATTTTTTTTTAGCATAAACACCTTAATATTTGATCAACAGCTTGTTCTCTGGGCTTATATTTGCAAAATAATCACTAACAATCAGTTTCTATATTCCAAAGTCCACCTAATAACTTTGCTGGATTTTCTCTTTGCCAACTTTAGATGAATACAATTCTTATTAATTTGATAAGCAACAATCCAATACGAAGATTTTTCTAAAATTTCTATCGATAAGAATAATATGGGTTGCAAAGGCTTTATAGAGATGCGGACTGCTTTGGATTTGGATTTTTAAGAGGTGTTATTAGGATAAGATTTAGAATTTAGTATTGAAATATAGTAAGAATATATTCTTTGGAATAATAGATCTTTCTTCTTTTCTCTTTCCTCTCTTTGGTCTGTTTCTGTCTTTTTTATTATTATTATTTTTTCTATTGTCTTATGTTTTTTTATTATTAGGCATGATAATTAATTTGTGGAGGTATAATGAGAAAAAGATTGTAATAATGGAAGAGATGAAACTAACAAATGAAGAATTACTGAATAAGAAACAGAATATAGTTAAGAAATGTAAGAATGTAATGATGGAAATAATATGTTTAAAAAGAGAAGTTAGGGACATCCATATGGTAAATAATATGTTTGTTTTCAGCTAAATTGAATATGGTATTTGGAAATTAATAATAGCTGAAAACAGGACTTTGATTTATATAAGTAATGGGTTGCAGATAACTTTTATTGATTAATGGAATTTTTATTTAGGAATGTATTAACAAATGAATTTTACTTAGAAATGTATTAATTTGACTATATTATGTTAATTGAGAGAGAGGGAAATTTTAAGGAGTATTATTTGAGCCGTATATTTATGATGTTATTGTATTCAACTGATTACCCTATCTCCACATTGGCTCTTAAGTTTCTTGGTGCAAAAACGGAAAAAGCAATAAAATTGTTTGGGGAAAAAAAAGAATAATCACGTCAATATCGTGCTTCTTTTCTATCTGATGATCATTTTGGTTGCCTCCTCATAAATCCCGTTGACAGTTCTTATTTAAATTTGTTTTCCCTACAATGTTCAAAACGTTCTTACTGGTTAAGATTTTCTCAAGGTTTATTACATTTAAGTATTTAAATCTATTTTTCAAGTCTTAAAAAGTAAGTAAAGAAGAAGACACATACAAAAAAGAAAGAAAGAAAGAAGAGAGAGAAAAGAAAAAAAATGGGAGAGAAGAACGAGAAAACAATATAGTACTATATAATATAATATACAACCCCCTTCTGTATGTTGTACATTTGTACGTTTATATTTTTGTAACCTTTTGTGTATATAGTTTTATCTTTCAGGAATTTCATTTTTAACATGTGCCAAGTGTGCCCACAGTAAAAAAAAAAAAAAAAAATGACCGCAAAGGTTATCTTATCTTTTAATATTGTAAGCTGCCCAGAGTTACCTCAAAGTAAGGTGGGCAGACAATAAATTTAATAAATAAGAAAATAAATTCTGTGGATTGTTGTTGTTGTTTTTCATCCTGGCACTGCCCAAGTCAGCCAGGCTGGGCCACTGGATTAGTGGGGTTGAGGTTCCAGATAAGGACGGTATTTGCTCTACTACCGGTTTGCGGGCACTTAAGGCATCAGGCTTGTCAGATGCTATATTTTTTCTATCCTGCTCTATGGAGTAGAGAGTTGGTCTCTGACAGAAGGCCACCTGAAGAGACTAGAAGCATTTGAGATGTGGATTGACAGGCGGCTGTTACGTAGAAGCTGGGTTGACAAGATCAGAAATGAGGAGGGGATAAGCCGCCTGGGAAAGCCCAGGGAAATCATCACAACAATTAAAAAACAAAAATTAGAATATTTCGGACATGCGATGCGACACCCAGAAAAATACGGCCTACTCCATTTAATCCTCCAGGGAAAGATTGAAGGCAAACGAGGTCCAGGCAGAAGAAGAACATCGTGGCTTCAAAATCTAAGGGACCGGTTTGGACAAAACTCAGCAGCACTTTTTCGTGCGGCTGCTGGTAAAAACAGGATCGCCAACATGGTCGCCAACGTCCGATAACGGATATGGCAGAAGAAGAAGAAGAAGAAGAAGAAGAAGAAGAAGAAGAAGAAGAAGAAGAAGAAGAAGAAGAAGAAGAAGAAGAAGAAGAAGAAGAAGAAGAAGAAGAAGAAGAAGAAGAAGAAGAAGAAGAAGAAGAAGAAGAAGAAGAAGAAG